TGTGAGCCCTGCTGCGCCGTGCGCCTGCCACGCCCACATCCGGGGCGCAGAGGGCGCGCGGCCTGTGAGGAGGCCAGCCCCTGGTGTGAGCCCTGCTGCGCCGTGCGCCTGCCACGCCCACATCAGGGGCGCAGAGGACGCGCGGCCTGTGAGGAGGCCAGCCCCTGGTGTGAGCCCTGCTGCGCCGTGCGCCTGCCACGCCCACATCCGGGGCGCAGAGGACGCGCGGCCTGTGAGGAGGCCAGCCCCTGGTGTGAGCCCTGCTCCGCCGTGCGCCTGCCACGCCCACATCAGGGGCGCAGAGGGCGCGCGGCCTGTGAGGAGGCCAGCCCCTGGTGTGAGCCCTGCTGCGCCGTGCGCCTGCCACGCCCACATCAGGGGCGCAGAGGACGCGCGGCCTGTGAGGAGGCCAGCCCCTGGTGTGAGCCCTGCTGCGCCGTGCGCCTGCCACGCCCACATCCGGGGCGCAGAGGACGCGCGGCCTGTGAGGAGGCCAGCCCCTGGTGTGAGCCCTGCTCCGCCGTGCGCCTGCCACGCCCACATCAGGGGCGCAGAGGACGCGCGGCCTGTGAGGAGGCCAGCCCCTGGTGTGAGCCCTGCTCCGCCGTGCGCCTGCCATGCCCACATCCGGGGCGCAGAGGACGCGCGGCCTGTGAGGAGGCCAGCCCCTGGTGTGAGCCCTGCTCCGCCGTGCGCCTGCCATGCCCACATCAGGGGCGCAGAGGACGCGCGGCCTGTGAGGAGGCCAGCCCCTGGTGTGAGCCCTGCTCCGCCGTGCGCCTGCCACGCCCACATCAGGGGCGCAGAGGGCGCGCGGCCTGTGAGGAGGCCAGCCCCTGGTGTGAGCCCTGCTGCGCCGTGCGCCTGCCACGCCCACATCAGGGGCGCAGAGGGCGCGCGGCCTGTGAGGAGGCCAGCCCCTGGTGTGAGCCCTGCTCCGCCGTGCGCCTGCCACGCCCACATCAGGGGCGCAGAGGGCGCGCGGCCTGTGAGGAGCCAGCCCGGCGGCAGCACCGTTAGGAGAAGGTGTGGCCTGAAAGAGGCCGGAGGAGCGAGGACAGCGAGCCCTGCGCAGGGCGGCTCCTTGTAAACACACGTGTTTGCAAAACGCTGACTCGGAATTCTTCTCAGGGTTTTCTGATGCTGATGGAAGCATTTCCAATTCATTATTTCACTCGCTCTTTCAGTGCTGCTCAGATTATAAATGCAGATCTGACCTCCCTCAAGTCACGGGCTGAGGCCACCTTCAGGCCCTGCTGCAAGTGGGGAGGTTCTAAGGTTACACTCGGGCTTGAAGCAGCGATGGTGTAAGAGGAGCCGGGAGCGGCTCTGGGGACACGCCAGGCCCTGCAGCGGGGAGACCGCCGCTGGGGGTCCTGCTGAGCCGAGGCTGGGGTGGCCTTCTGCCTGCGGGCTCTGGGGTGCGGCCATTTGAGCTGCCGCCGGACTTTCTCTTTCACTGAGACTGAGGTGAGTGACTCTTCAATCTCAGGGATTGTTAACTCAGAAGACAAAAAAATCCTTCTTTAAAAAACAGTTAAAACAGACTTTGTAACTGTATTCCACAAAATAATTAAAGCTTACTTGATGAGTATTTGCCATGTGTCAGGCATTGCTTTACATGCATCATTTAATTCTCCTTTGCTTTATTTTATTCTATAATTTTATCTAATGTTCATGTTTTATGAAAGGAAGTAGAGATTAATTTTAAAGTGTTGTGAAGCCAGATCATGATGTGTCCAGGGAGGCAGACTGAGGCCGCAGAGTTGGCAGAGGAGAAGCGGGGTGTGGAGAGGAGCAGCACGCCTGCACCCCGAGCCACGTCCACACTTGAGCGCAGGGCAGCACGCCTCCCTCTTTGGCGCGCTTCTGAGTCAAGTTTGCTGCAGCCTCTGTACCCACCTGCTGCTTTGGGAGGATCTGCGTGGGGAGGTGGTTTTCTGGGCACTGGAGGCAGTCAAGGCCAGGGCGGCATTTCCCTGAGCCGCAGGTCTGATTAAGACAGGGCTGGGTTCTGCAGAAGATGTCACACGTGTGTACTGAACACAAAGTCTGTGGTTACAGGACTGAAGTCAGAGTGAGTAGGGAGAGGTAAGAGCACTGACCTCGGTCTCCCATTCCTTGCACTCTTGTGGCCGCTGAGCTCCAACCAGCATGGCCAAGACCGCCCTCCACCGTCTCCCGTGTGCCTTTCCTCCAGACCGCAGCTGGTCTTCCTAGAGCTGTGTGTCCACACCAGTGCTGTCTCCACGGTGTTATCCTTGGGCGCTTTACGTTTGAAGTTCCCCTCATAAAACATTTAGCCAAAAGCCTTCCACGTGCCTGCCACCCAGCTTGTGTCTGTGCTGTCGCCTGTAGGATGTTTACGTGGTCACTCTGCTGTAACCCTATCCTGCTCCTGGTAGGAAACTCATCTGATGGCCAGTAGCTACACTCGGTTCTTGGATAGAGTTTTATTTCAGAGACAAGAAGTCACATTTCTTTTTGAATTGTGGCAGAAGACCTCCGTTAAGCCTGACAAGGTTGGTATCGCTCAGTTTCATCTGTCTCATGGCTGAGTGGTGTGGTTGTAGCTGGTCCTTTGCTTCTGACAGCTTTGAAAACACTGTTATCCATTAAAAATTAACCTCTCTTTTAGGTAGATGAAAACGTGAGAACATATTAATGTAACTTTTCTTAAAATAAAAAGGCTGTACTAGGCAGACAACAGGGATCTGTTGTATAGCAAAGGGGACTGTGTTCAATACCGTGTAGCAGCCTACCATGGGAGGGGATGCTCTGCGCATGTGCGCGTGTGCGTGTGTGTGTGCGTGTGTATGTGCGTATGTTTGTGTGTGTGTGCGTATGTGCGTATGTGTGTATGTGTAACTGAATCACTTTGCTGTACACCTGAAATCTTGTGAATCTACTATACTTCAAGTAAATGATGTTAGAAAGTATTATAGATACATTGCAAATAGAGTAAAGTAAAAAGGCTGTCAGTTCTTCCCGTGGCCTCCTCTCCAGGCTCTTCTCTTCTCAGTCATGGGCTGGCCCTCCCTGGAGCCCTTCTGCGGCCTTGCCTGGAGCACTGCCACCACTCACAGAGCTGCCTGAGCGTGAGGGGCTGGTGCAGGCGGCCAGTCAGCTCGTGGCAGACCTGGGGTCAGAGCCCAGACCCATCGGAGTCCGGCCTTGTTCTCAGCCGGGCGTTCTGATGTCTCTGTGTCATCGTTGTGATACTTCAGTGCTGCTTGGCTTTCGGTCACCTGCCACTCAGTCGTTTGTAACTTTGCAAACGACTTTGTGTGAGCCGATCCAAATACTCAGTTCACTCGGTTGTATTGAATACGAGTTGCAGACACATTGGTCAAAACCTCCTGCAGCGGGGATTCCCTGGTGGCTCTGTGGTAGAATCCACCTGCCAGCGCAGGAGACACGGGTTCGACCCCTGACCCAGGTGCCGAGGAGCAGGCGCGTCCGTGCATCTCAGCGGCCGGGCCCAGGCACCTGAGACCCCGCGCGCCACACGGAGCAAGAGAGGCCGCTGCTCGCCGCGGCTGGAGAAAGCCTTGCAGCAGCGAAGACCAGCACAGCCACAGATAAATAACAGTTTTAAAAAGGCACAGGTTTGGAAATGATGACATAAAACCGTCATCGAAACAAAAAGCAGCAGTGAGAGCCGCTTTAACCTGGGGATGGTACTTAGCGTGTGGTGGACAGCCAAGTGAAGGGTCGCTTTGGGAATGAAGCTGGGGCTGGGAGCAGATTCCGTGATGGGACTACTCTGGTTGCCTGGTGAGCTCGCGGAGCTCCGGCAGAGCCACTGTTACCCTCTGCTGGGTGCAGCCCCGCCCGCGAAACCCGGGCCGAACCTGGACTCCGCTGCCGGAGGGGGACACAGGGAGGCCCGTGGGCAGGTGCTGAACACAGACGTGGGCTCGCGTCAGTCACTGCTCTTTGCAGCAGGAGCTCCAGGTGTCTGTTAATAGAGTGACTGTCCTTGTCTGGCGCGTGTGCCGCCTGGGCCGACGAGCCAGGTCCCCAGTAGGGGCGGGGCAGTGTCGAAATTAGTCGGCATGGTGACAGTCTTAACATGTAAACAGTGGTGTTTGTTTTTTTGTGTCTGTGGTGTTTGTTTCTGTGGGAACTTAGTTTTTAAAAGTCTACCTGGATTGTTTCAAAGAATATGGGGTGAATTTTAAGTACTTTTGGCTTAGTTTATAGAAATCAGTCATTTATGCGTGAATTTATTTTGTCCAGGTTTATCTTCCTTGGTTTTTGAACAACAGATTAGGATTCATGTTACTCCTATGAGGGTGTGGTGGTGGTTTTTTTTTTTCTTTTTTTTTGAAGTGTGTATTTTTAGCCAGAGGAAAATTTGAGTCATTTCAAAGAAATCTGGATGACAACCTTGAAAACAATATGTTCAAAACTTTTAAATTTAAAAATAATCTGTGTTTTTCGGGGGCGGGGGATAAAAGTGTAGCCAGAGCTTGTAGCTTATCTCTTATTCAGCCTGCAGTTTTCTGATTCTGAGGCACTTGTATAATTAAAAAAACTTGACTTTCGAGGAAAGCGTGGGGGTGATCTTGACCGTGGAACAAGAGTCAGTGCTGTTTTACTTAATAACAATGAAAATTTATTCCCAAGGCGTGAGAATGTTTTGACACCTTCAGGAATTTAAAAAATACGCTCTGAAGAGGGTTCTTGAGCTATTCTCTGTTCTCTCTTCATTTTTAGTCAATCGGTCTAGGATTTCCCCCTTTGCTTTTGTAGATTTGTCATTTTAGGGAACTCAGTCTGACAGCTAACTACACTCTGGACTCAGAGCCGTGAGAAAACTCGTCTCCTTTGCTTAGAAGGAAAGAAGCAGCCCTGCTTTAGCTTCTGACTGGCCCTGTTTGGTCGGTGCCGACGGCAGCCCTCGGCCAGTTTGCGCGGGGCCCCTCTGCGTGCCCCAGCCTTTAACAGCCTGCGTTGCCTCCCCGCTCTCCGCAGCATGCTTTGAGACCGTGAGCATGGACTTCTCCCGGCTCCACACGTACACCCCTCCCCAGTGTGCGCCCGAGAACACTGGCTACACGTATGCACTCAGGTGAGCTGCACGTGGCGGCGTCTTGAATGCCGGGGGGTTATTGGGGGGTTCATAGTGCTCGCACCCAGCTGCTTTGTGCTGAAAGTGAAAATGGCTATGAACTTTGTTACGCTCTGGGTTTACAAAACTGCTAAACTGACATGGAAATTATGAGGGGTTTTTTTGAAAACCAAATGTTTCCGATGACTCAGTGATTCATCACTGCAAATGACTGATTTAGCCTCCATCCATGGGGCTGTGGTCTCAAGAGCACATCTGTGTGGTCATGTTGGGGTTTGTGATTTATGTTGATGGCTGAGCAGTTTAAAGTTAACAGAAGTAACCTGGAAAGTGATTTGCCCTTGAGAGGAGGCACCCTCAGCAGAGTCTTGCTGAAGCCTCGGTTTCTGGAGCACAGCTTCTGGCGGATGCAGTGCTGGGTCTCCTGTTTTTTTTTTATTTGTATTGTGATTTTGTGCTGCGCCTGGTAGTCTGAGTCTTAGGAGGCATTGACTTGCTCTTTGCCTTTCTAGTTTACCAAGTAGAAGGGACAGTTGAGATGAAACTTAAGTATGGTAAAGTTATGGGCCAATGGCAAAGGGATGATGTTCCTAGGTTGGTGAGGATTTGATTAGCAGACAGAAAAATCTTTGCATCCTGGCAAGATGTTCAGAGCACACAGGAAAGATGCTAGTGTCAGTTTTATCAATGGCTTGTCTTCTAAAAATTAAAAATGTGATCAAAACTTAAAGAAAATTGGAAGATATTTTCAGAAACATACTTCGTAGCAGCATTACTCAAACCTGGTAGTTAATGATTTGAGTTTTTAGTCACAAGTTTAGATCATGTCATGCTTTTCCATAGTAACATGTACTGTTTTTATGGAAAGTCTGTAGTATTTTAGAACAAAATGAGTGGGCCAACTCAAGTAAAACTCTTCCTTATTCTGTATTTGTGGAGCATAAAAATAATTCTTGGTAATTTATTTTTAGTTTTTATAACCCATTTGATTTTGTTTTTACAGTTACTTATCTGTTTTTATGATCCATTTTAAATACAGTCTTTAAACATCGCTTTATCTGGATCTCTCCCTTGGGAGAGCAGCACTGTTTGTTTCACTCTAGCAGAGCCGCGGAGGTGGGTGAGGGCTGGAGTGGGAGAGGCAGGTAGGCTGAGGTGTGCTGGTGGGAGGAGGGCGGTCAGCACAGGGTTCCCACCCAGAGGGGTGGGACCAGGTTTGTGCGGGTCTTCAGAATGGGGACGGTGCCCTGCAGAGCCTGGCAGACATTCAGCTGAGACTCCGTGGGGACAGGGCTTGGGCAGTGCTGGGCAGGGTGTGGGGTTTGGGAGGGAACACTGGAGGCCTTGTGGTTGACGGGAGGGAGGGGCAAGGGTGACTTCGCAGTCTGGGAGGGCACAGGAGGAGGGCCTGGCAGAGGACCAGTTCATGGGAGGGGGTGTGAGGCTCAGGCTCGAGAGCTCTGCGGACGGCAGGTGGGAACCCCAGTGCCCCGGGGGTCGAGGCCCACATCTCGAAAGAGGAAGTTGGTGGAGGGGTGTTGGTCCACATCTACGTGTGAATTCTGACTTGAAATAATTACAGTTTTCATTTAAGAAAATTATGTAAAGTAATTTTGGAAGAGTAATAACTATTTTGTATTAAAATTATGTTGAGCTAAGCATCCTCACTATTCAGTGTGGGTTAGTGCAGACTTTGTCCTGCCTCCACTCCAGCCTCTAAAGTTAAGAACCTTTTCCTTAAGTTATAGGTGATGCCTCAAATAGATACAGCAACTTGAAGCTGTTTGTGTTGATTTTCTGTTGATTTAACATTTTTCAGTGTCAGACCCAAAGCCCACCAGTGGGCTTCCCTGGTGGCTCAGAGGGTAAAAAATTTGCCTGCAGTGTGAGAGTCCTGGGTTCCACCCCTGGATTGGGAAGATCCCCTGGAGAAGGAAATGACAACCTACTCCAGTATTCTTGCCTGGGAAATCCCATGGACAGAGGAAGCTGGTAGGCATCAGTCCATGGGGTCACAGAGAGTTGGACACAACTGAGCGACTAAGCACAGTGTCAGATCTAAGTTTATAATTAGCTTGATTCTGAAACACTTTTTGTAGTTGTGTTTCTGTATTCCTGGCTGTGCTGGTCCCCGTGGCTGCATGGGCTTTTCTCTGGCTGTGGAGGGCGGGGCCTGCTCTCTAGTTGTGACACGAAGTCTCCCAGTGTGGCGGCTTCTCCTTGTGGAGTGTGGGCTCTGCAGTGTACAGGCTGCAGGAGCGGCAGCTTGTGGGCTCAGTGGCTGTGACTCCTAGGCTCCAGAGCACAGGCTCAGTAGTTTTGGTGCAGGGGATTAGTTGCTCTGTGGCATACTGGATCTTTAGGATCAGGGATCCAAAGGTGTCTCCTGCATTGGCAGGCAAATTCTTTACCACTGAGCCACCAGGGGCGCTTCTGAAAATGTTTTTATAATATAAAGTAAATTGCAGAAATGTAAAGCCCATTTACTTTACTCAGATGCTCCTGGTTACCCTGGATGTCCAGATCCTTAGCCCAGTGGTCTGCTGTCTTGACTGGGGCCTGTTCTGCTGCCTTGTGGACATGCCCCCAGGTGTCCCCAGAGTCTCCACCTCCGGCAGATAAACCACTGGGCCTGCCCAGGGCCTCCCTGGGAGCAGGTCTCCCTCTGCTTCCAGAAGGCCTTCATGCAGCCCCACCCTTGTGCCTCGGGCTGCACTTTACTTTTCCCCTGCTTTGCTCCGTGTGGCAGCTGTGCCCTTTCCCTCACCTTCCTCCTTCCTGCCCGGGTGTGAGCTCGCCTCCTGGAGGTGTGGAGGCCTCACTGTCCTGCCTGGCTGCTGGGCTGTCTCTAGGACCCCCACCCCCATGAGGCGCCGAGCAGCTTCTCCACTCGTGTTCCCCGATCTGGAAAGCTTTCTGACAGCGCAGAAGGACCTGTGTTTTGGTTTAAGGAAATTACATGGAAGTGGGTTTTCTTTGTACCATCCGTCTTTGGACTTAACGATGAATTAGACGCAAAGTGGCGCTGTTGGCTCAGTCACTGGCTTTTCCTTTCCTCTTCTTTGATTATTCAGCAGCTTCCTGGGCTCCCTGTCTCATTAACTGCGTTATCAGGCAGGGTCCACTATTAACAGTAAAGGTGGTAGTTTTCTGACAGTGTTGACTTCACGGCCCATGGAGGGATGCTGGTGACTTGCGCGCGTCTCTCGCACTTGGAGCCAGCCCTCGGCCTGAACCCCAGGCAGGGGCTGCAGTCAGAGCCCATGGCGGGCGTGCCGGCTGTGGGCCGAGTTGGCCCGGCTGCGTTTGCTTTGCAGGAACGGCTTCACATCCTAATGGCTGTTTTTAAAAATTCACACTGGATTGCGCTTTCTGTTACTTTGCTTTAAAAGTGGTGCTGTAATTGGTGTTTATCTCTGACAAGGTTTTTTTCCTTTTAGTTCAAGTTATTCTTCTGATGCTCTGGATTTCGAGACTGAACACAAGTTGGATCCTGTATTTGATTCTCCAAGAATGTCCCGCCGCAGTCTGCGCCTGGTCACCACAGCCCGCGCTGCCGAGGACAGCGCCGCTGGGGACAGCGCGGCCAGGTGAGCGAGCCGGGGACCGGCGCTCCGCGTTCCGGCCTGTAGACCTTATTGTTGGCGGTTTGCCGTTACGTGTGTGCACACAGACGGGTGCTCACATGGCTGTAGCTCGGCTGTGGACCAGGCTGAAACCAGGCCTGGGGTGTGCAGGTTGTCTGGCGTCGGTCTAGAGGGCAAGGACACCCCTGCCTCTGGGCCAGTGTCCCCAGCTCGGCCGCGTGCGGGCTCCCGGTGGGGAGAGAGGGGGCCTGCCCGCCGTCACACGGCCCTACAGTGTCTCTGTCATCAGTGCTGCAGTCTGGTCACAAGCTCTGTGTGGACTGACGGGCACATGCCTAAGTTGAGATGTTTACCTGTCTTTATGGTTGTCTTGTTGACTTGATTTTGGAACTCTCCACATGCCCATCACTTATTTGTGCCCAAGAAGGAGTGTGCAGGATCCCTGTGCCATTTAGAGATGAAGAATGAAATTAACAGCTCTCCTTTAGCATTGCTCGTGTTAAGAGTGATGAGTCTCCAGCCTGAGTAGTTGTGTCTCGGGAGTGGGGATGCTGACTGGTGAGAGGACAGGCCTCTGGCCTGACAGCAAGGCTGGGCGTGGGCGTCCGTGGCGCCACCTCCCCGTCCACAGGACCACTCGCACACTGTGCCCCCCGTGGCCACGTGGGGTTCATTTGCAGTGATGTTCTTGGACATCCTGGTTCGAGGGCTCACTGGTGTGGCTGTGGGCACCCTGGCTCCGACAGGCTGCTCCTCTGTCCCCGGTGACTCCAGGATCAGGTTTCCTGGTGTGCGTGCTCATGGGGCCTTCCTGTCTCTGCTCCGTCCCTGGGGAGGAGGGCAGGGAGCTCGTCTTCCTGGGCTTCGTGTCCATTGTCACGGTGGGTCCAGTGCAGAAAGGATTTGGTGACAGCCTCTCCTCGCTATGCTGGACGCGACTCTGCCTTCACTGTGACTGAGAAACTGCAGGATGTGCCTGTGGTGCCGTGACTTGTTTTTTAAGTTTTGAACCCCTTTTGGGTCACGAAGTGAAAGTCGCCCAGTGGTGTCCAACTCTTTGCGACCCCCACGGACTATAGAGTCCATGGAATGCTCCAGGCCAGGACACTGGAGTGGGTAGCCTTCGCTTCTCCGGGGGATCTTCCCAACCCTGGGATCAAACCCAGGTCTCCCGCATTGCAGATGGATTCTTTACCAGCAGAACCACGAGGGAAGCCCAAGAATACTGGAGTGGGTAGCCTTTCTGTCCTCCAGGGGATCTTCCAGACCCAGGAATCAAACTGGGGTCTCTTGCATTGCAGGAGGATTCTTTACCAACTGAGTTATCAGGGGTCCTGGGCCCCCAAGTAATCTGCAAAGTACTGTGCCACAATTTTCAAAGGATTTCTTGGAGCCTAGCTTAGCAGTTCCTTTTTTAGATTAATAGGTGTCTTATTACAGCAGGAAGGATGTAAGAGAATGTTACTTTAACAACACTATTCATTGTCAGGCAAAGATTTTGTGTTGGTAAAATGTAATCATTTATATTTACTAGACAGTTTGTAGACTTGTTCCTGACTGTTTCTTTTTAGACTAGCCAAACAGCGCAGCAGCACACACAAGTCGGCATTTAGTGTCCACCCCAGCTCGAGGAAGGTCCTGTCCTTGGCTGTCAGCCATGGCGGCTCAGGCACCGTGCAGGCTGCAGCCTGTCCACGGCCTCCCGTGCTGGATGAGTCTCTGATCCGTGAGCAGACCAAAGTGGACCACTTCTGGGGTGAGTTGTCTCTGCTGATTTCTCTGGTTGTCCTGAGAGGAAGTAGTGTTGTGGCCAGTTTGTTGCCTTGCCCCTTCCTGGTGGGGGGAGCCCAGCGAACGTTTGAGGCCTTCGTCTGAGTCAGATCGGAAACACCAGGAAACGACCTCCCATGGCCAAGTGTGTGTCCTGCTGCGGAAGGTGGCGTGGAGGGCTCGGGCCAGGCTCATGACCGTCTAATGCGGGACTTCTGTGCGGTGTTGACGTGCCGTCACTGGTAAACTCAGCAGCGTGGTTTCAGGTTCTGGGCCGCAGTTTCTGATTCATCGGGAAGAACCTGGTGAAGACAGACGGACTCCAGAGGCAGTGTGGCTGTGACCTGACCCCCTGAGCAGTAGCAGTGTGCCCTGTCCTTGCTGCAGGGGCCGCGGCTTTGAGCGGCCGAGAGCCGCTGTGTCCCCTTGACTTTCAGGCTGCCCCTTCTGAGGAGATGTGGGGATCAGATCAGCTCTAGAAATAGCGTGTGCTGGTCTGGGGAGGCTTTGCCTACATGTTGGTTTTGTTTTGCTCACCAGCAGAGTAGTGCCTGGGCATCAGCGGGGAGAGTGCACTGGCGCTCCGGTTCCTGCCTGCTCCTCTGCCCACAGGGGTGCGTGAGCATGTGAGACGAGGGGGGTGTGACTGTGAGGTGGGGTGTGTGTAACTGTGAGGTGGGGTGTGTGTAACTGTGAGACGAGGGGTGTGTGACTGAGACGGGGGCGTGTGACTGAGATGAGGGGGGTGTGACTGAGACGGGGATGTGTGACTGTAAGATGGGGGTGTGTGACTGTGAGACGAGGGGTGTGTGACTGAGACGGGGGCGTGTGACTGAGATAAGGGGGATGTGACTGTGAGATGGGGGTGTGTGTGACTGTGAGGCAGGGGCATGTGACTGAACGAGGGGTGTGTGACTGAGACGGGGGCATGTGACTGTGAGACAGGGGCGTGTGACTGAGATGAGGGGGGTGTGACTGAGACGGGGCTGTGTGACTGTAAGATGGGGGGTGTGTGACTGTGAGACGAGGGGGGTGTGACTGAGACGGGGGTGTGTGACTGAGACGGGGGTGTGTGACTGTGTGAGACGGGTGTGTGTGACTGTAAGATGGGGGGTGTGACTGAGACGGGGCGTGTGACTGAGATAAGGGGGATGTGACTGTGAGATGGGGGTGTGTGTGACTGTGAGGCAGGGGCATGTGACTGAGACGAGGGGTGTGTGACTGAGACGGGGGCGTGTGACTGAGACGAGGGGTGTGTGACTGAGATGGGGGTATGTGACTCTGAGACGGGTGTGTGTGACTGTGTGAGACGGGTGTGTGTGACTGTGTGAGACGGGTGTGTGTGACTGTGAGACGGGTGTGTGTGACTGAGACAGGGGCGTGTGACTGAGACGGGCGTGTGACTGAGATGAGGGGGGTGTGACTGAGACGGGGGTGTGTGACTGTAAGATGGGGGGTGTGTGACTCTGAGACGAGGGGGGTGTGACTGAGATGAGGGGTTTGTGACTGAGACGGGGGTGTGTGACTGAGATGGGGGTGTGTGACTGTGTGAGACGGGTGTATGTGACTGTAAGATGGGGGGGTGTGACTGAGACGAGGGGTGTGTGACTGAGACGGGGGCGTGTGACTGAGATAAGGGGGATGTGACTGTGAGATGGGGGTGTGTGTGACTGTGAGGCAGGGGTGTGTGACTGAGACTGGGGCGTGAGACTGAGACGGGGGCGTGTGACTGAGACAAGGGGTGTGTGACTGAGATGGGGGTGTGTGACTGTGTGAGACGGGTGTGTGTGACTGTGTGAGACGGGTGTGTGTGACTGAGACGGGGGCGTGTGACTGAGACGGGGGTGTGTGACTGTGTGAGATGGGTGTGTGTGACTGTGAGATGGGTGTGTGTGACTGTAAGACGGGGTGTGTGTGACTGTGAGACGAGGGGTGTGTGACTGTAAGATGGGGGGGTGTGACTGTGAGACGAGGGGTGTGTGACTGTGAGATGGGGTGTGTGTAACTGTGAGACGAGGGGTGTGTGACTGAGATAAGGGGGATGTGACTGTGAGATGGGGGTGTGTGTGACTGTGAGGCAGGGGCATGTGACTGAGACGAGGGGGGTGAGACTGTGAGACGGTGGTGTGACTGTGAGACGGGGTGTGACTGAGACGGGGGTGTGTGTGACTGAGATGAGAGGGGTGTGACTGAGACGGAGGTGTGTGTGACTGCGAGATGGGGGTGTGACTGAGACGGGGATGTGTGACTGTGTGAGATGGGAGTGTGACTGAGATGGGGGTGTGTGTCTGTCAGATGGGGGTATGTGACTGTCAGATGAAATGTGTGACTGAGACAGGTGTGTGTGACTGTAAGATGAGGGGTGTGTGACAGATGGGATGTGAGCATGTGAGACTGAGGTGAGGGGGGTGTGACTGTGAGATGGGGGTGTGTGTCTGTCAGATGGGAGTGTGTGACTATCAGACGAGGGGTGTGTGACTGTCAGATGAAGTGTGTGACTGAGACGGGTGTGTGTGACTGTAAAATGGGGGGTGTGTGACTGAGATGGGATGTGAGCATGTGAGACTGAGGTGAGGCGGGTGTAACTATGAGATGGGGCTGTGACTAAAATGAGGGGTGTGTGACTGAGACGGGGGTGTGTGACTGAGACAGGGTGTGTGTGACTGTGTGAGATGGAGGTGTGTGACTGTGAGATGAGGGTGAGTGACTGAGATGGAGGTGTGTGACTGTGAGATGGGTTAAGTGACCGTGAGATGGGGGTGTGTGACTAAGAGACGAGGGGTGTGACTGTGAGATGGGTGTTTTGAGCATGTGAGATGAGGGGTGTATGACTGTGAGATTGGGGTTGTGAGCATTGTGATATGGGGTGTGTGTGAGCATATGAGACAGGTTTGTGAGTGTGTGTGAGGTGGGGGGTGTTGTGTGTGAGATGGGATGTGAGTGTGTGTCAGATGGTGTGTGAGTGTGTGTGAGATGGGAGGGTGTTGTGTGTGAGATGGGGAGATGTGAGTGTGTGTAAGACGAAGAGTGTGTATAGGCATTTTCCTCAGAGATGCACTTTCTCCTGGAATGGAAAGCAGACGTCTTCAGGTACCTAGAGGAATCTTCACTAATTGTAGGCCTTATAGGAAGTCAGTCTTGACCAGGGCCATAATGTTCATTTATGAACCATTGTAACCTTTACTTTTGCTTGTGTGCATTTTGTCCTGTTTTGATCATTTTAGCTCAACAGCAAAAAAATGTGTGTTTTTTAGGTCTTGATGATGATGGAGATCTTAAAGGTAATTATTTTCATCCTTTTCTCCCCCACATTTCTCAAGATGGAGGTTTTAGTTAGGTGTCTTCAGACTGTAACAAGCAGGTGCCGTCTCTTTTTCGCAAACTCCAGGTGGGAATAAAGCTGCCATTCAGGGAAACGGTGAGGCGGCCGCGGGGGCCGCGGAGGCGGCCGGGAGCAACGGCTACACCTGCAGTGACTGCAGCCTCCTCTCCGAGCGCAGGGGCATGCTCACCACCTGCTCTGCAACACGTGGCCCGGCCTCCTGGGTCTACTCCAGGGACAGGAGTCAGAAACGTAAGTCTTGCTCTTTTAAAAGTGAGGAAAAGGGTTCATGTCCAAATACTAGCTATTTCATTTTCTTTTTATCAGCCTTGTCTTACAGGCCTCACGGTCTTCACCATAAGTTTGAGCTCAAAGTTATTCTTTAAGAGATGCGCCAAAAATGAGCTCTGTTCCTTCTCCTCCTCTCCCAGCCTGCGTTTGATGTGGTGGGTCTTGTACCTAGGAGTGTTTGAGAGTCTGTCCGTTTGAACAGACAAACGGAGTAAGAGAAGAGTAAGCAAGAGAAACCCTGTTCCAGATGGACCTGCAGGGCTCTGCGGCCCGTGCAGACACACTCTTCCTTCTTAAGGGCGCACAGGCTCCATGTGCCCCAAGGGGCGGCGGGCCGTCTCTGGTCTCTGTGTGGGTCGCCGTCCTGACCATGGGACAGCCCACCAGAGAGTTCTAGGTGGCACATGGCACACCAGCGTTTTTGGGAGGGCGGCAGGCATGGCGGAGGGTCTCATGGGGCGACCGCTGACTGGCAGGGGGAGGCCCTTGGGCCCCCGTGTGCTTGATTGGTTCTGATCAGTACCTGCCCAGAGGGAGTCAGCCTCTGCCAGGTCCCCACGGAGAACGCAGCTACAGAGGCTCCTCCGGGGGCCACCTGGCCACAGTGCCCCTCCAGTGGCTTCACGGCCGCTGCAGTTGCTCTTTGCCTTCAGGTGTGGGAGGCTGGGCGTGCTTGACTTGAAATATGCATTGCCTTGTTTCCAAGTCCTTGGTCCCATGTCTGTGTGGTCTGAGCGCTGTCTGCTTGGCACGGCCGGGGGACACGCTGTGCAGGTGGACCTGGTCGGGAGGGGACAGTGTGGGAGGGCGGGGTGGGGTCCTGTGCATGAGGGCGCCCAGGTCCTGTTTCTCGAGTGACCGTCTCACCGTGAAGGAGGACGGTCCCAGGCTGACTCTCAGTTCCATTTCCGCACCTTAGCCCCTGGCTGGGCTCTCTGTTCTGCCGGTTGCCGTGTTCCTGCCCTCCTCAGGGCTGGCAGAGCAACAGGGACACCGTGAGGGGAAGGGCAGGGAATTGGTCCCGGGGTCGTGTGTGGGTGCCGTGAGACTTGTGTCCTGTGCACTCACACTCCCGTGCCCCAGCCCTCAGAGCAGCCCTCCGGAAGAGCTGTCCCCCTTGTTGTAGTCGCTGTTAGCATCATCACCCCCATCGTACAGACCAGTAAATGGGTTCAGCCAGCTTCATACGCCTCCCAGCGAGTGATGGAGCCTGGACCTGGCCCCGAGCTGCTGGTCCTCTGGGAGCTCCCTTGGGGCTGGGGCCCGGGCCCCACACTCGATATGCCGCGTGTCGGGCATTGAGGCTGCATTTGAAGCTTGCCGTTGCTGCATGGAGCGCAACGCCCTCCTTCGGGTGGAAGCGCGCCCCACGCGCTGCCCGGCGGAGCCGCCTGTCTGTGGTCGTGTCTGCTGCTCTCCCCCGCTGCATCTCTGTCGCTGGCAGCCAGCCACTCGTCCCAACAGCTGGGGGCTGTGGCCTGAGCCCCGCTGCGCTATCGGCGGGGCCTGCAGAGGGCAGCTTCTGGATACTCACCCCACTTCCTGCTTAAGTCGACCTTGAGTGTTTTGGGGGAGAAAACCAGTTACGGATACTTTGGGCTTCTATTCTTACTGTGCTCCTTGTTCTTTTAGATCATGGCAGTGCTCTGTAGAGCCAGTGCTAACTTACTACCTTTGAAAAAAATTTGTTCCTAATTATTTGAGTGAAACATTTATCAAAGAACTTTTAAAAACCGCAGAGGGGTACAAGGAAGAAAATTAAAATAACTTGTACCTGGAGGGGTTTAGGTCACACTGTGTGGAATCTGTTATATGAGCATGTTTACTCAAAATATGCGTAACAATCACAAGTTAACCCCACCCACACGTTTCTTTCTTTTTTTCCCTTACATTCTCATTGTGAAATCTTTAAGTAGCACAGATAAGTTCAGTCCCCTCCTTGTTCCTCCCCAGTCCCTGTCCGGTGTCCCTTCTGGAGGGACCTTCACCTCACCCTGTTCGTTATGGAACCTCCTGCTGTTTTAAGGAGGTGAAAGTCACATAACAGGGACTTAACCATCTACCATTTTAGCGTATCATTTCAGTGTTGTGTAACAGTCTAAATTTTGCTTTCATGTTCCTACAGAAACATGGAGTATGTTTTTGTCTTTGCTTCCAGTAGGTGATTTTGCAAGTTGTTTCATTTTAAATGGTAATTGTCATGAACTTAGATTCTTTCTGATGCCTAATGTTGCATTATGGTTGTATTGAAATTAGTTGGTGTGGAGGTGGACATTCAGGCTTTGCTATTTGTACACTTCTACAAACTGTGTTTTCTTTGGGTGTACATGAGTTCGTGCACAAGTCTTCAAGGTAGGCAGGCCCAAAGCAGCACAGCTGTGTTATATGCCGCATGTCCTGCCTGAGCCGTGCAGTTTCTGAGTCTGAAACCTTCTGATTTAGGGTGAGTGCATTGTAGAAAAAATGTGATTTTTTTTGGCTACATAAAAAAGGCCTTAAAAGCCTTGCACATGCTTTCCTTGGACATTGAACAGTGTTGAACAGAGCAGAATGCTGACTTGTGCTCATGAGCAGACCCAGTTCTGCCGTGAGGATCAGCGTCTGGGTGAGAAGCCTGTGGTGTTGGAGACGTGGAGACCGGCTCTGCCAGGTCTCGCTCCTGTGTGCCTGCTGCCCCTCGGGCGTGCCTGGCCCCCGGGCTGACCCCAGAGGACAGCCCAGGGGTCTGGAATCTGAAAACACAGGCTTCTGTGTTCTTTCTCTTGCCTACGGTGACACGTCTGTCCTCCAGTAGAAGGTGTAAACCGAGGGAGGAAGGATGGATGGATGAATGAAAAGTCATTCCTTTGGAAATTTATCAGTTGTCTCAGTTGCTTTGAGCAGAACTTCATTTCTTGAACCAGGCCTAGTCTTTAGAGAAGGAAGGACAGAACGTCTGCTGCTTCTGGGAGAGGGGCGGGCGACTTCAGGGTCGGAGAGCTGTGACCCCGAGCAGCTGAGGTTGAGGTGGACGGCGTGGCATGGCTTCTGCAGAGCAGCTGAAATGCTGCTGTCTGGCTTTGAGGAGGAGCAGCTCTGAGCCTGTCCTCTGCAGAAACCACCATCAGCAGTTAAATATACTTAAAAATTGTTCCAGCTGGCAGCTTCTGAATCATCATCATCACCACTGAAAGCAGGTGCTGTATAGTGTCAGTTTAGATAGATTGTTCCTATTGACCTCCTGGCAGACTGACCAGGACTGCTCTCCTGTGTGGCCAGCTGAGGGTCCCATTCATGTTCTGTTGCTAAGTAGGAGTCTTTGTATTTTTGTTCTCTTAAATGTTGCCAACTGATGAATGAAAAATGGATTTTGGTGTTTTTGAGTGTCAGTGAGACAGGCCATGGATTAACCTCCTTAACTTTTTTCTATTTTTACCAATCTCTGTATGAAGTATACACCGCGGTGTCAAACACAGAGGACTGTGAGTGGTGGTACACAAAGTGGGCCTGACGGGTTTCTGGTCTCAGTTTTGTTTTTTGGTTCAGATCTGCATTTCACAAGGAGCCTGCGGCTCCACTCAGGCCATGTGGGGAGAGGGTTGGGGCTCCGGCCTGATTTCTCCTAAACCACTCACACTCAGATCCCTCCAGTCCCCTTGGCTTCACGCGTGTGCCCTGCCCTCACAGAGCTGAGTGGGGATGAATGGACGGGGCCGCGTTTCTCTGCTCCCGGTGGCCCAGGCTGGCAGCCCCGTCTCCAGGCCATCCTGTGGCTGTCACGGGGCAGGCACGAGCCTCATTCTTCAGCTGCCGCTCAGTGAAGAAACTCTTTTAGTCATGGACGTTTCTAGCCACTGTGACTTGTAGACACCGCCCTGTGTGTTGTAGGTTACAGGGGTTACACTGTCTGTCCTGATGTGCTGGGTGCTGTGGAAAGGGAGCCACGGACGGGAAGGCACCCTTGACCAGGTTCACCATAGTTTCCAGAGCCTCAGTATCTGTGTTGGGGTCTCTGTCCCCGGCTGCACGAGCTGTCGGAGCACCTTTGAGGGGGCTGCTCATCTCTGAGGGTCTTCTTGTGGCTGGGAGCACAGTGGGCTTGCTGGGCCAGAGGTCGGGGCAGAGGCCGTTTGCCAGTTCCTGAAGGCAGTGGTGTGTTGTGAAGTGTTGGGCCTGGTGTTCTCAGAGCTTGTGTTCACCACAGCTGGCCGTGGATAGACGCGTGTGGCGCTGCCAGTGCCCTCGGGGACAGCTGGTTTGTGGCTCTGCCCAGCAGGGGCCCACTTAAAAGTGGGTTCCAGGGAATGCCCTGGCTGTCCAGTGGTTAAGACTGCGACTTTTCACTGCCCAGGTTGAGTTCCTGGTTGGGGAACTAAGATCCCACAAGCTGCATGACACGGCCAAAAAAAAAGTAGGTCCCACCTTAGCTGAAGTGCGTCACCCCGCCTTGCTGGAAGAGTAACTGCTCACGGTCTCTCAGCAGGCCGCGCCGCCCGCCGTGGGGATGGCACCTGGTCGCTGGCCGCGTGCACCTCAGCATCCTGTGCCTCGTTCTTAGTGCAACTTTTCCAAGTGGTTTTAATGAAGCTCAATTATGAATCAGAAAATTACAAATTGAAAAGTTATGAATCAAAAGATCGTGAATCAAAAAGCTATGAGTCAGAAAGCCATGAATCAAAAGGTATTTAAATAATTTTTTTCTCCTTTTTCCACCAAATCAAGCACTTTCAAGGTGGAGAAAACACTCTTCCCCATGCAACGCTTAGCTCATGCCCTCCCTTTGACCTTTGCGGCCTTTCTCTGTCTCTCTCTCTCTGTCTCTATTGCTTGCAGCCTTGCTCTGTACCTCTCTCTCTGCAGTTCTGGACGTTTCTTGGACGTCGATCATCATTTAAACAGTAAATGAAAAGTTAATATGCTCCTCTTTTTATTCTTATGACCTTTTTAAAGTAAAAATAATTATTTGAATGGCATTTACAATGATGTTTTAAAAGTGACTGAAGCAGGCCTACCTTGTGTGATGGCGGGCGTGTCCCGGCAGGCGGCCCCCACCCCTCTGCACCCTGCAGAGCCCCATTCCGGCTCAGCCCCTCTCGCCTGTGTTGCAGCTCATTCCCGTCACTGTGGGAGGATGGACGCAAGAGCGCCCCTCGCCGAGGACGGCCACCTCCGTGCAAACGGGGCGTCGCTGTGTAAGTATGGCAGGCCACGCGGGCCCACAGCCCTCAGGCCCGGAGCCGGCAGCACCAGAGGCGCTGGCTGGGAGTTTGCGTGAATTGAGTTTCCTGGTTGTTTCAAACCGCCGTTGCTGCGCACTGACAGGGTGTGTTTGTCCATCTGTCCGATTAACTGCTTGTCCCACCCCTGCAGGCGACGACTGTAAGGGGAGGAAGCGCCTGGAAACGCACATCACCACCCGCTCGCAGCTCTTGCGGCCAGGAGGGCTGGCAGGGACCCTGGGGCTCGCCTTGTCCCGCGCAGGTCGTCCGGCGCTTTTGTCTTGGTTCTGTCCTGTTTTCACGAATGCTCCTTGTTTACTGTTTCTTTGTGCTTGAAATTCAAGGGCTTAGTAAAATTGACAGGAAAGTAGTAACTTTGGTTTAAAATACAGAGACTATCATTCTTCAAAAGCTTCTCTGCAAGTGTATCTGGTGTAAATGAAGTGTGTGAAGAGGAGCACATTTGAGGCGAACTGAGTGGTTTCGTCTCTCATTGTTAATTAATTAATATAAAGCTATAGATTAAAAAGAAAAAAAGATAAGCCTCTAACACCGTGTGTCTTTACACATCAGCTGAGTTGGAATTACTTAACATTTTCGGGAGTCAACACACAAATGCTGTGTGAGTGTTTAACTTCCAGTGGTTACTCTTAAAAAATGAGAACAGGTGATTTCACAAGCAGTTTTCTGCCTTATATAATGTGTGACATTTGGCATCAAGTTTGTTGTGTTTTATTCTGTCATCCAGTGGGGCTGCCAGTTGTGATTCCAAGATATTTTCCACCAGTTTTCACCAGGGTGGGAAGATTTTTATTTTGGTGTCTGAATGACCATTGTCTCGCCCAGAGCCTGTTAACTGCTGGCGAGTGTTACACTTACTTCCTTATGTGACTGCGGTGTCTTTCTGGTACACGTTCTGCCCGCCGCCGCTGCACCTGCATGCAGGGCAGCTGCCAGCCAGCCCCCCATGGGTTTATGAGAAACCTCTGCATTTTATGTCCTGCGTGTCTGTAGGCAGAAGTGAATGAAAACTGTTGCGACCCAGAGCAGGGTGTTCCTAAGTTAGTGTCAGCGTCTTGCTTGGACGTAAACGAGCCGTAGCTGTCCCTGCGGGGAGGCCATGGGCTCTGACGGGACGGGTGCGGGTGTGGTGCACACTGGTGCTGGCCGGCTCTGCCCGGGAGCGGGGCTGGGGCCTGAAGGTGCCCCTCCTCCACGTCCTCTCCGGCACAGGTCACCTCCCGGGGCAGGCGCTGCGCAGGGCTGGAGCCGCAGGATGGCGTGGGTCCCGGACGCTGCTGTCGGCGCTGTGCTTGGCCGCGGCCGCCCCAGGTGCTTGTTTTGGCCTTCCGTGTTAGCGCTCCTTGGCTTTTGGCGGCTAAGCACCTGCAGTAAACTGGTTACCTAACCAAGTAAACATTTCATTTTCGCTCTCCGTGCCTTTGTCCTTCGTGTAGCGTGTTCTGCCCTTTATTAGAAATGCTCTTAATAGCATCCTGTGCTTTTAGCTGCATGGGCATTCTTTGTTTCTCGGTGTGTGGGGTTCTGTGTAAGTCTAGCTGCTTAATTTCGCTGTAGTTGGGAGTGCATGGACTTGGTATCTTGTCTTGTGTGTGACAGGTTGCTTTGTGGCTTATTTATGTTCCTGTTTGAGTTACGGGCATTCCTGCTGTGATGACTAAGCATCATCCTATATACTTCATCCCTAACTTCATCTTGATATACTTTCAAGTGTCTGTTAACACATTTCCTGTGCTTCTGTCCTTCCTTCACAAAACTGTCCATTAGGGATTTGCTCTTCCTAAAAACATCTCCACAGGACCTTTGGTGTTTTCTCTTCTAGGGAAGGCAGCGTCTGAAGTGTTCTGGTGGCTTGGGATTGGATGGTACCAGTTTGTTACTTTGATCTCTTGGCTGAATGTGTTTCTTCTTACAAGGTAAGGAGACCGATACCATGTCAGCTGGGTGTTTTAAAGAGCTGGTTTTATGCTGATTTTATGACCTCATTTGATTTAACCATTTTATATTTTGCAAAGTGCTTTCAATTCTTACGTAATTTTTCAACCACTCCTGTGCAAAGGGAAAGGCAGGTGTCATCAAGGAAACTGGGGTGCAGCGGTTCAGTCCTGGATCACACCGCTGGGAGGGTGCTCAGGACAGGGCCCGGCCCCCGGCTCCATCCCAGTACCCTCGCCCTGGCGCCAGGGTGCCTCCCTGGGTCAGCGCCTGCGGTCCCTGAGTTTCCTGCTGTGCACCCAGCCCAGCGTGTTGACAGTTGTTGACCTGTCAGCTTGTTCACATGGGCCCTGAGGACAGCCCTGCATGGGCAGGTTCTCTTGTAGGCATCTACTGACCTTGTGCGTAAAGCTAGCTGCATTTCTTGGCCTGTGGACTTTCAGTTTAAAATGAGGGTGGGGGGTGTGTTTTATATAAAATTACCTAGCAAGGTCAGGTATGATGGTGAGCCCTGCTTTTAGCTTTTCCCAAGTTACTTCTTTTCATTCCTAGGTGCCTTCGAAATATTTGCAAGTTTTTAATCTTGATCATTCCATTATTACTTTTACTAGGTAAGTACAATTTTACTTTGTTACCTTACATGACTAGTATGTACACATGCATATGTGTGTGAATTAGTGAAAAAATAGAGCACTTAAATATCTGTCATTTGAAGAGCAGTGTGTGCACATGTGTATACAGGTGCTTTTTCTCTCCTTTGAGGTGCAGGTGTTTCATTATGGGGCCAGGGTGACGTCTTTTCGCTCCTGCCTGTGTTAAACTGGACACACAGCCACAGAGTGCAGAGGGTGGATGACCCCAGGACCACGCTTACACCCGCTGCCTCCTACCCCAGCCAGCCTCTGCAGGTAATCAGTCAGGAGGTGTGCTTCCCTGGCATTGCCAGTCTGTCCTCCCAAGCGAGTTTCTGCATTCCTTGTAAACTACAGGGCAGTTCAGCTGGGCTCCTTGACCTGTTCTGAAACAGTTCGAGTAATGCATACAGGCACACCTCAAGTACTGTGGATTTTGCTCCAGTATCACACAGATTTTTTGGTTTCCTGGTTCATATGAAAGTTATGTTTATCTTATGGTACTTTAAATGTATATAATAGTATTACATCTAAAAAAACAATGTACAGACCTTAATTGAAAATACTTCACTGTTAGCAAATGCTAACCATCATCTAAGCCTTTAATGAATCATATAATGTTTTTGCTGGAGCACGGGCTCCTCTGTGCTGTTAAGGAAGGTGCATGGACAGACCTTCGCTTGTGAAAATGCAGTGCCTGTGAAGTTCATTGAAGTTCTGTATTTCAATTCATCTCATCATTCAGTTCATTTTCACTTAAAAAAAGAGCTTTCATTACTTTGGAAAATGTAGAAAGCATAAAGCAAAAAATAAAAACCACCCATAGGCTGCCATGTAAAGGAACCACTAATGAGGAGCCTCTTTCTGTCTTTTCCTTCGGGCTGTGTGAGCTGTAGTTGACGTTCTCCTGTAGCGCTCTGCTTTGCTGTCTGGACTTGTCCTGTCTTTTTGTCCCCTTTGGAACCTCTTACTCTCCAGGTTGGTGATGAGGCCTTCCACTGGCGTCGGATGAGTGAGGTGGAGAGGCAGGTGGCCACGTTGTCGGGACAGTGTCACAGTCACGATGAGAAGCTTGGACAGCTGGCGGCTTTGCTCCAGAAGCTGCAAGCTCGGGTGGACCGGGCGGAAGGCAGCAGTGAGGGGGGGTCACCCCCGGTGAGGAGTGTGGGGCTGGGGGGCAGCATCTCAAGGGGGCTGGCGCTGGCGGGCTCCCGGGCTCCACAGTGATGCCAGGGAGCTCTCAGGCGCAGGGAGCAGGAGGGCCCTGGGTGGGTGCTGCGGGGAGGGCAGTGGCCGGCGCTCTGGTGCTCCAGACACTCCCGAGGAGAAGCCCCATCTGAGGACAGGGTGGGGCAGGCGGGGAAGCCTGTGGGTGTCTCCCAGGAGGGAGGGCAGGCTGCAGCTGGACACATGGCTGTCCCTGGCCTGCATTTTATTTTGTGAGTGGATCGAACACAATTGCATGAAGTCTTACTGTCACTGAACTGAAAATTTGCTCAAATCTGTTATTTCAAATATCTCAAGATCATGAGATAGTTAAGAACAGCTACTAGTCCTTATGGAGCCGTGAGCTTATATATATTTATATATATATATGTTTCATGTCTCATCTGTTTGGTTCTCAAAGAAAGGATTGTCAGTCCATTTTCCTCAGAACCACCATAGGGCAGGTTTCAGACATCTGAACTTAGACCCAGAGAGGATATCCTCCCTGCGGGGTGCTGTGGAGGAACGGCATGGCCTGGCTGACAGGTTTGGGCTTATTTGCTGCTTAATTTTCTCTGCCATTTTTCATTCATTTTCCCTTTCAAGACCAACTATGTGACACTTCACCAAGAGCATGAATTGCGCATCTCCAGCCTGGAAGATGTACTTGGAGAACTGACAGAAAGATCTGAGGTATTCATACACTTGACCTTTCACTTTTAGCCCCCGCAGCGTGGTTTCCTTGACAAAAGTCAGCAGTCCGCAGTTGCTGTGTTCACATCCCCAGCCTCTCTGAAGGTGCTGCTTTAGGGCGTTTGCTGCCGTCCTTCATGAGACTAAAAAGCAGTATTTCTGACTGCCTCCTTTTTCCTGGGTTGTTCCAGTGTTGCTTTAGTGCTTCCCACGTGTGTCCAGCTCACGGGCTTCCATCTGTCTTTTCGAGGGGAAGGGTCTGAGCCAGGTGTGGGGTGGGGACGGCTCAACTAGCTGCCTCCTGCCTCCACGGGGGACGGTGTCTGTGGACCTGGGGGAGAAGGAGCAGTGCTCTGACCTGTCTGCAGAGGAATTTCTGGGGGAAAGTCTGGCCTCATCAGGTGTCGCGGAGGCGGGGGGAGGAGCTGCTGCTTCAGGGGAGACCATAGTCCTCAGGGTGGGGCTGGCTGCAAACGGCATCGAGGCGGCAGTTTACGTTGCTTATCGATTGGAAGTGTCCGCGGCTGTCCCACGCTCGTGTCGCTGCCACCACGGAGCGGGGCCTCTGTCCAGCTGTGCCTGCATGGCTGTGAACAAACCATGTTAATGAGGCACAGCTTCGTGTGTAAATCTGCTCCTCCGCGCCCTGCCACGCTTAAGACACTTGGTGGGGCTGACGGAGTCTGGCTTCATGGCCTGGGTACTAGTTATAGGAGCTGCTTGCTTAGTTGGAAAATCTGTCAAGCTGCTCCCAGGAGAACTGTGTGCCTCTCTGAATGGACACTATGTGTCTTTTAAAGTCTGCTGTGAAAGGTAAAGTAAACATCCCTCACCTGCCTACCAGCAGCCTGGGCTAGGCTTTAAATTAAAGGGGAGAATCCCAGGTAAATGTGTATTTTTTTTATTTACATGTATGTAGTCATGTATGTGACTTCCTGGAAAGTTGGTGCATAACTTGTGTATTTAAACACTGTTTCTCAATCATTTTAGGCCATCCAGAAGGAGCTAGAGCAGGCCAGGCTAAGAACAGTCAGGTAGGATGTTTCACATAATTCCTTTCCCGCCTTCTGGGCTCCTCGGTGTCCCGTGGGCCGCACCGTCTTAGCACAGGAGTGGCGGGCTGTGTCTGCTCCAGCTGCTGTCTTCCTGGGAGGCTCTCAGGGCAAATGAGGATGGAGGAGGCTGGGGGAGGCTTGTTGCCATCCTCCTCCACGCCGCACCAAAGATGCGGGGCCCGTGTGCTCTGGGGAGCCTCCCTCCCTGGTCGCGGCTTGGAGGGCCACCCTGGGGTAAGGAGCGGCCGTGGGCTCACAGCCGGGTGCGGTGGGCCTCCTGCCGGGGCCTCTGCTCACCCCAGGGCACTGCAGTGCGGCACACCCTTGAGGAGACCTGCCTTGCAAGCCGGCGTGGCCGCAGCACGGCTGGGCCTCCTCTGAGCCCTGGCCCTCAGCAGTTCTGTGGGTGCCGTGTCTGGTCCTCACACCCTGCTTGCTCCTTCTCTGCACGTTTTCCCGATGCCCTCAGCCGCGTGGCGCTTCCCTTGCCTGTGAGCCTCAGAGCTGCCGTCTTTTTCACACACTTGGCTTGGTCACCCGGGCTCTCGCCGCCTTACTCCAGTAGCTCACTTGGGAGAGAGCGAGTGGGGAGCTCTGACCTCCAGTCTTCCCGTCTCTGGCCCCAGTGTGTCTGCGGGCCCTGCGTCGTGATTTTAGGCCTCAGGACGATGTGAGTGGCAGACCTTGTAACTCTCCTTCAGGGTCTCTATGTGTCACAGCCCCTCTGACAGACCGTGCAGACCCTGCAGGGTTCACCCCGAGGGCACTCTTGTGAGATCTGAACTGTTGGTATCTCCACAACTGTTCCTGCCTGTAAACAACTATAAATATAACACTACCATTTCATAACATACAATGGCTGCATTAAAATAGGATTGTTAAAACCCTGAAGCCATATGTTTTTAGTTTAGTTTTCTCTTCCAGTAGCATGAAAAATTCATACTTGACTTTATGATGATTACCAATAAACATAGTCTCATTTATGAGTTTATGAAGTCTCAGAATTTTAAGGAGATAGGTGTAGGTTTTACATATTAAATGATGTTTAGGAGGTGCCCTCCCCCACCCAGCAGAGGTGTGACCACTGCTGACGGCAGGTGTGTGTGGTGTGTGTGCGTGTGTGGACGTTGAGGTGGCAACAGTCTCTGGGCCCTTGACTTGAACCGTCCCTGTGCTGGGGGCAGGGGGGTGTTGCCAGCCACCCTGCCTGTAACGGGGCCTCTTCCCTGATGGCGCTATTGTCCTTCCCCTGCAGCGGGGCTGGTGAGGAGCAGCGCCTGCTTGCCTTGGTCGGGCGTCTGGAGCAGGAGCTGGGGCACCTGAAAGCAGACTTGTCCAGCTGGCAGCATGGGCAAGCCAGCTGTGAGAAGGTGGAGGCCATCCATGAAAAGGTCAGTGCCTCAGTTTTTTATGTTTTGTCATGGAAAATAAAAACACTGAGTTGGTGCCTTAAGTTTTTTTAATTTCAACTTTCTTTAAAAATTTTATTTTAACTTTATTTGAAGTTTCTTGAACATTTTAAATGAAATAATTAAAAATGCAGCTCCCCTCGAATTCCCTCCATTCCAGGGACATGAGGTGTGTGGGTGCTGGCCTGTCTTTCCCTCCGAGGGCACGCCTGTGTGTGGGTTGGGGGGGCAGTTTGTCTGTCCCCAGAGCAGACGCACGTGCCTCACAGCCACGCCTCAGGACGTTGGGTCAGGTCCGCCCGTCCTCACGCAGAAGCAGAAGCGCCTTCGCTTAGAGCTGCGGGCGGTGCGAGCACAGACGGTGCAGAGGCGCAGGCGCTGCTGAGCTGGGCCGGCAGGCGGGGGCGGGCAGCTCTGTGGTGCGGGAGCCCTGAGGCTGACAAACACCGATAAATACGTAAACAACTGTAACTGACAGTGTACTGTTTCACAGCACACAACAGCTGTGTTAAAATAGGACTGTTAAAGCCCTGAAACCGTGTGTTTTTAGTCAGACGCCAGACGCAGCCCAGCCTGGCAGGCGACCCGTCTCCCTGAATGGGTGGCAGGTTGCGGGAACACCTGCTCCTCGATCCTCAGGTTGGCGGGGTGGTGACCGTCCCTGCAGGGGGCCTGGGGGACAGGGGCCTGCAGCCTCCTGGGGGAAGGCCCTGAGATGGCCATGGGCCGCAGAGACTTTGTCTCGAAGACAGGCAGCCCCACTCTGGGGACGCGGGTGCAGAGGTGAAAGAGCCCACGCGGGGTCCGTGGACACGAGTGCAGAGTTGTGATGTTAGTGCTGAGGTGGCCCGAGGCGGGGCGGCGGCTGACATGCGTGGTGGAACATTCCAGAGCGTGCAGATGGGGAGGTCACTGGCTGGCGGCGTGACAGGAGCTGCACTTTCCCGGGTGTCTGTGTATAAACCGCACCGGGATACTTCCTCCCTGCGTAAAGTCACATCTGCAGTTGTGTATGGGACTGTTAGCTTCTCAGACTGAATTTGAAGCTGGGGGCCCCATCTCTCTGCTCCTCACCTGAGGCAGGGCCCCCTCCAGCACCCAGAGCACCCAGACTTGCTCTCCTCTGTCCCTGCCCCTTGAATGTATCCCAGTATCTTTGGAGGGTTCTTAAGTTTTGTATGAAAGGAAAAACTGTGTCGCATTTCTGCCGTGGGTTTTGATCAGCTGTGTGATCCTTCCAGGGTGTCTAAGGTGATTGAGTGGAGAGTTGGAAAGATTCATCTAAAACAGTACTTTCACATGACAGTTGCCAATGATGTTTCTAGGTGGATGTCCAAATCAGAGAGGCGCTCAGACTCATGTTCTCTGGAGATGAGCACGATGCTTCTGTCGACTGGCTGCTCCGGAAGCTGTCTGATCAGTTTGTGAGCAAGGATGACATGCAGGTTTTGCTACGAGACCTAGAGCTGCAGATCTTGAGGAACATCACGCACCACATTTCTGTGACGAGAGAGATGCCGACCTCCGAAACTGTAGTGTCTGCTGTGAGTGGAGCAGGCGTTTCGGGAATAACAGAAGCGGTGAGTAGACAAGGAGCGTTCAGGCCACGTGGTGGCGGAACTGCCATGCAGGCACGGAGCTGGCCGACGCCGATGCCTGCCCCGACGATGGTCCCTTGAGGATGTGGCGACCGTGTGAAGCGTGCTTAGCTCCGGGTGGGCCTGGGGAACGTAGGCTTCGTGTTGTCAGACTACTTCTTGGAAGTGTTACACTTCATACTTCATTAATCTTTTTGTCCCAAAGATTTTGTCTACCTGGGTGGCCACATACCTTCTGGAATTACACAAAAATTTCCCACAGTGCGGTCCCAGTTACCATCTCTAATGCTAGTCCTTGCTTGTCCACTTCCTGTGGCACCAGGGGTTCTGGCTCTGAGCCTTTTGTGCCGTGTCTGAGCCCGGGTGTCTGGCTTTGGCCCCCTCGCCAGGGTCCCCATGGTCACAAGCAGGACTCAAGTCTGGCGTTGCTGAGATGCCCCACATAGAGCTCACTGAAAGTCTGTTTCTGTCACTAACACGAGTCTTGTCTTCTGCTCCTGTGGGCGCTGCCTCTGCCCAGCAAGCACGGGTCATCGTGAGCAATGCCCTGAAGCTGTACTCCCAGGACAAGACAGGCATGGTGGACTTCGCCCTGGAATCCGGGGGTGAGTGCCTGACTCCTCAGCCAAGGGCAGGGGCGGGAACGTGGGCGAGCGCGCCACAGCCTGAGGGGGAGCAGTACTCCAGGTGTGTCCCCCGGAGCGCGGGCTGTGGGTGCAGCCAGATGACAGGCTGCAATGGAACCCCAGAACTACTGATTATTCACTCACAGTCTTGTGTGTTGTAAAGTGTGTGGGTTTTTAAAGTGTAGAAGTCCACTGACTGCAGAGCATTCTTCAGACTGCTTCTCAGGACAGTAGTGCTCCCTGTCAGCCACGTGCAGGGCCCACTGTGGGCATCAGGGACACAACAGTGAATTGCACAGTCCTTGCCCCCCAGAACCTCCCCTCCAGGGGTGAGACAGACGACGGAACAATGGCCGTTACTGTGTCAGAAGCCACAGCTGGTGGGTAGAAAGGATGGGCACTGTTCCGGCTTCTCAGGAAGGCCAGTCGGAGGTGCTGCATGGCCGTGGCCCCGGGCCAGGTGTGCTAGAAGAGCCAGCCTGTGGTTCAGCGAGGCAGCATGTTCATGGCCTTCTGTCGCCAGCCCTCGGTGACCTGCAGGACAGCAGCTGGGATCACACATGGGGATGCGTGTGAAAACGGGAGTGACGTCACGTCAGTCCAGGGAGCATTTGGCACCAGACGCGTTGGAGAAAACCCTGGTTTTCTGAATGTTTAGGGTCTCTTGGAGGAAAGGAGGTTCTTGACACACATCATTAACCGTGTGAGGACCTGTGGGACGGGTGAGGGCAGTTGGCGGGCTGCGGGCGGGGCTGGGGGGCCATGGGGGCCACGGGCCTCCCCTCACGCAGCCTTTCGGGGCTGCTGCTCCTGCCAGAGGCAGCCAGGTTCTTCCAGCATCGGAAAGCAGTGAGGCGCCCAGCTGCTCCTTGTGTGTCTTTTGTTTAGAATGACTGTTTCAGAATATTGAATGATTTTAGTTTTGTGTTTTGAAATTCAGTGGTTTCTGAGGGAACTTTCACAACTCAGAGACAGCACGTGATTTTTACCGGTTCGATGGGACCAGTAGTTGTCATGTTTTCTTAGAGGTGTAAGTCCTCACAGGTTGGTATGTCACTGATTCAGGATTCTCATCATCCCCAGAAGGCTGAACTGAATGCTCTGTTACTGAGCAAAGCATCTACTGGCTCCTCCTAAGTGAGAACACTGAGTCACGGTACCCAGGGAGACGCTTTTTTAGGTGGAGAGTAAGGTGTTTTAAAAGAATTCAGAAGCTTGGACCTGCCGGTCAGCTAGATCAAAATCGCGTTATTTTCTCGTTTAAAATTCTGTCCCATGCGCGCCTCTCCTGTTCGGAGGTGAGAAGCCCCAAGAGGGGCCGGGGCTGCCTCTGCCGGTGTCCCCAGGGTGGTGGCGTGCAGCCAGCTGAGGCGCCACTGGTCCTAGCAGACAGACGGCTCGGGACTGCTTGGATTTATTAATCACGCACTTGTTTCCTTTGTAGTTTATTTTAGTTGATGTTTCTTCCTGCACCAACTTGTTTTGACACCAACATCCTATCCCATTTCCTACTGAGAGGCAAATTGGACTTTTTTTTTTAACACTTTTTATTATTATAATTATTGAGATATAATTCATGTAACAGACTTCACCAGTTTCAAGTGTACAGTTGGGTGGCTTTTAGTATACTTATCCTGTTACAACGGTCACCACTATCTACTTCCAGCACATTTCTGTTTATTTCCAAATAGAAGTCCTGTCCTATTAGCAGACACTTCCCATTACCCCAGCAGTAAGTAGGTCATCTGAAAACTCCTGATGCCTGGTTAGATTCATTATTCTTTATTTTAAAATGAGAACAGTGGTTCACTCAGAGTCACCGCCCTCATCGTGGCAGGTGAGGAGCCCAGTGTCTTGTTGGCATTAGGACTGTGTGTCCTAAAACATTTGTGAACCGTGGACTCTGAATATGGAAAAAGTAAAGTTAGGAATGGAGGGGCTTCCCTGGTGGTCCAGTGGTTAGAGACTCACCTCGAAGTGCGGGGGACCTGGTGCGACCCCTGGTCTGGGAAGACCACGTGCTGCGGAGCAGCAAGGCCTGTGCTCTGGAGCCTGCACACCACAACCAGGGGGCCAAGCACGGCTGTGAACGAACCTCCCCAGTGCTGCATCTAGATCCCGTCAGCCACGTAAATAAATACTAAAAAAGTAAGACTGGAGATGCTCTTCATGTAAGATTATTTACATGACTAGAAACGTGAGAATTTTTAGAACATTACAAACAGATCCCTAAGGTGAGAGTGGTGCTGCTTCCGAAACAGTAGAATGAGATGCTGAGTCGTGTCTCCGCTCTGCCACAGGGGGGAGCGTCTTGAGTACCCGCTGCTCCGAGACGTACGAGACCAAGACCGCACTCCTCAGCCTGTTCGGCGTGCCGCTCTGGTACTTCTCCCAGTCGCCCCGTGTGGCCATCCAGGTGAGCAGGCCATACAGGTGCCGCATGCGTGTCCCGGCCTTGAGCAGTCATGTGCTGCTGTTTGGGGGTGTGTGCATTCCACTTCCACAAAGGTGCAGGCTGGAGCATGCAAGTCCTGAGTCCACGGTCCAGGGTGTGCCTCGCTCAGAGGCGATTTCTGACGCCTCTGCTGGCTCTCCCTTGTTTCTGGATTCGGGGCAGGCGAGGCTGCCCGTGCTGTCCCGTGCTGGGCTTCACCGTCTCTCGGGGGTGTCCCCTACGGCTGAGACCCAGGCCTCTCTGGGAGGGCACAGCCTGGCTTGCCCCTGGGGAGCCTGGCCTTTCTGCAGGCGGGAAGGACCCTGCCGGGGACCCGGAGCCTCAGGCACAGGGCAGGCGGCTGGTGCACTTGGAGAGGCGGAGATGAACACAGGGATGAATGGGGGGGTGGTCTTGGCCTCTGGATGTCACGCCCCAGGCGAGGGCTGCGGGCTCCTCCGCCGCAGTACAAGCCGTCTCTCGGGAGTGCTCCGCCTCTGTCGTCTGGGGCTGTCCCCACACACAGGGCGTGAACGCGGGCTCTCTGTTCAGCCGGAGGGTGGCTGCATGCATGGTCTGCTCCGTGATGCCAGGGGCTGCGTCTCGCTGCTCTGGGCTTGGCTTGTGGGGTGTGCGTCCCCAGCGCATACAGCGGGTTTTGTCTGGTGGGGATTATTATCTGTCTGCTAGGTGAGGGGCATAGGTGTTGCTTAAATTGTGGTTTTTGCGTTGCTCTGGGAATGGGGAGTCTCTCCCTGTGTCCGAGGCGCTCGCAGCACCGTGTGCTGCCTGTTCTCAGGCTCACCTGCCAGGTGTCACCTCGCACTGTGCACGTGGCCCTTGAGGATGAAGTCACGGGTGCCTTTCCTCACTTCCTATTTTTGATCTTATGTATGACCGTTTCTTACCAACAAAAATTCTATGGTTTGTTTTTTTCAATATTAACCAGTCTTTTCTCTCACTACTCCTGTTTTTCAAGTAGTTAGGAGCTTGTTCAGCTTTTAAGTGTTAGTGTTTTCCTTTCCTCAGCCTGACATCTACCCAGGGAACTGCTGGGCGTTCAAAGGCTCCCAGGGGTATCTGGTGGTGAGGCTGTCAATGACAATCCGCCCGACCGCCTTCACCCTGGAGCACATACCGAAAGCGCTGTCGCCCACGGGCAGCATCACCAGCGCCCCCAAGGACTTCGCAGTTTTCGTGAGTGCACCCAAACTCCGAGACCCCGCCTCAGCCCTCAGGGACTCTTCCAGAGATGAGCCCCAAGAAGGCTGGGACGCGAGTATACTGCCAGCGTTGCCCCTCGCATCCTCCCCTCTGCCCGCTGACCTCCTTGAGTATCCAGTAAACGTGGAGGGAGACGTTCCCAGACTTTTCCAGGGAGGGAGGCTGTGGGAGGACTCGCCTCTCGTCTGCTCAGCGTGGAGTCTGTTCTGATTCCGATGTGAGGACATGGTGAGGGTGCTGGGAAAAGGACACCCAGATCCCAGCACCTCAGCAGTCACCATTAACACTGGCATTTTCCCATAACACACACAGCTGAGGGAATTCCCCGCCGTCCAACAGGTAGGCGGTGCTTCCACTGACGGGCCCAGGCCCCAGTTGGGAACTAAGATCCCACAAGCTGTGTAGCTTGGGAAAAGAAGTGCACAGTTTGAGACAACACCATTCATAAAATTTCACTTCCTACCTTAAAAAAGCAAATTGACCCTAAGAATTTGTCCATGGCAGTGAACGTCACTGTACGAGTTTTCGCAGCATCTGACACCTGGATACACTGGAGCATCGCCTCCTGCCACTGCACACTGGGCCGATTCCCCAGAGTGCCCCTGTCCATGTGCCAGCTTCCCCAAAGCTGCCTTCCCTCTTCAGTGAGTCCCCAGAAAGACACTCAGGCGGCGTGATGTTTCGGGGGCACGAGGGGCCTTTGATTCATCAAACTGCATGTGTTGTTAGTATGAGAGGCATTCCTCATCTCGTGGTTCCCTTTCTGAGTCTTTTTTTTTAATCCCCACTAACCTGATGGTTCTTGTTTTGATCTTCATGACTGTGTATTGCACATGCATGTTTCCTTTTTTTGTAGAGTCTGGTTTGTTTTTATCTATGTATCTTTTGGTATCTTAGTTTCCTTATGAATATTTTAGCTTTCTAATATAAAAATATTGATCCTGAGTCATCCTGTTACAGATACGCTTCCTACTGTCAGTCTTAATTCCATATTTAGTTACACCTGCTCATTACCTGTAATTTCTTCCATGGCATTTTTACACCTAGAAAGTCCTTTTTCCTTTTATGAAACAGACATCTAAGTAGTCACTTGTTTCCTACCAGCTGCTTCTTTACTGTGGTAAAATACACGGAACGTAAGGTTAGCACCCTAATCATCTATGAGTGTGTGGTTTAGGGGCATTAGGCACACTGGCCCCGTGGGAAACAGTCACCACCGGCATCTCCAGAGCTCCCTCACCTCAAACGGAGGCTGTCTGCACAGACACTGACTCCCGTCCCTCGGCCCCTGGCACCCACCGTCCTCGTTCTGGCAGTGAGTCCACCACACTCTGCTGGCCGGCTCTCCTTTCCCACACGCATCAGGTGCCCTGGGTTCCACTTTGGAGTGTGGAGGGCAACAGTGGGCCATGTGGCTGTTGAGTGTGGTCTGCTGCCTGGTTAGTGTGCCCGCTCCCAGCCTCAGTTTTCCTGATCTTATATAATGGGAAAATAATGCCTGCTTCACAGGCTTTGTGGTCTGTGAGAAGCCCTTAACAAAATGCCCAGCGGACAGCAAGCCTTCCTGGGCGCTTCTCCCTGCTTTAATGGAAACGTAACCCCCCACTACCTCATTGTCTCTCCCTTTATTTAGTGACTAGAGGGTTCTGTTTCAGGGGCTAGAGAACGAGTATCAGGAGGAAGGGCAGCTCCTGGGACGGTTCACCTACGATCAGGAAGGGGAATCTCTCCAGATGTTCGTGGCCCCGGTAAGGACCTCGCACTCCTGCGCACTCCAGGGCCCCTTGCCCCAGTCCCGGCCTCAGGACCCACAGATACGTAACAGAACTGTCCACGGGGCGTGAGGGCCAGCCTCTGACCAAGTGGACCCAAGCTTCCTAGCTTCTCTGTTATAGAATGAGCCTTTTTAGTATGTAACTTGTTCTGCACAAATGTGTCATATGTAATGACTTGAACTTTGGGTCCTGTAATGATAATATTTCATGTTAAAAGCTTAATCTCCAACTTGGCTACTTAATCTCAAGTCTCATAGCTGGGGAAGTGTTGGGGCTTGGGTGTATTAATATGAAATGTGTGATTTTTCTCTTTTCCCCTCAATTGCAGAAAAAACCGGAAAGAGCTTTCCAAATAGTGGAACTGCGGATTTTTTCTAACTGGGGCCATCCTGAATACACATGTCTTTACCGGTTCAGAGTTCATGGAGAGCCTGTCAAGTAAAGAGATGACTCACTACCCTTGTACATTTTGTATATACTGGACAGCCTGGAACACTGGACTCCTTCCTTCATGGACTCGGGCATAGAGAGTGCAGCATTAATTCACCCCTGAAATAAGCGTACCAGCTGCCAGCAGGACACAGGGTACAAGTGATGAATGCTGACCAGCTGCATATACCCAGCTTGCTATTCTGTCCCCAGGAAACACTGCATGTTGACTGCTTGGGCTCAGAGACCTGCCAGCTGCAGGTGGTCTCTGGAAATTCATTTGAATGTATGGTTCACACAGACACTTATTTTTTGGGGGTGGGGGGGATTTGATTTTGAACATAAAACTATTTGCTTGGCATCAGGAACAAAGCAAAGAAAGTTAGAAAGTTTGGAGTGTTCTTGAAGCCTTGACAGCAGCAGCCTTCACCAGCCCCTTGAAAGGGCCTTTGGGAGCAGATATGTGTTCAACCCAGCACACGTCTTTCAGGGAAGAACGGTGTCACCAAAGCTGAGAGCTGAACTCCCTCCCTTTAGGGTGAGATACTCCGCTGTTGGCAAAAGGGGTTCTTCAGTATCACCAGGTGCGGAAGTAACGGAAATGGGATTTCCTGCTTCGCGTGTCCCATCATCCATTCAGGAACCCTGGGGAGTTTCCCTTTGTTGCACGTTTGAAGTGTGTCTGATTCGAGAGGGGATGGTCTGGATCTACACAAACATGTAAATAGAGTTCTCAGGTCTCCACTGGGCTCATCCCATCGGATTCTCCCTACAGTTTCACTTCACACTATGAATAGGAACCAAGAAATCCAATCTTTTGGATATTTTCAGGTTTTGTTTTGAATTTTGCTGAAAAGCAAACGAACACTAACATGCTCTTTCAGAGGCTTATGTTTTTATTCCACTTACGGTTATTAAAGAAGATTGTCCCATGTGGCAAATTCATGACACCAGGACATTTGGTGATGTTTTTCTTACAGCAGCACTTTGTACTGGCTCTGGTTGGATTTGCCTTTTATTACGACTTGGCCATTCTCTTTGTTTTGGTTATAATTAATATTTAATATTTAGGCTATTTTACTGAGCAGACTTTGTAAATGAGGTATCTGCAAGGCACTTAAAGTTATAGATGTTTTACCTTAAAAATTATTTAAGTTTTTTTGGGTTAAGACAGTTTTTTGGTGTACCATAAATGTTGTATTTTCAGAAAAAGACAAAATGATGGTGCTGACTGGTTTTCTGAAGAGTTTTATGTATATTGCACAACAGTCCTCAAATATACAAAAACTACATAAACTAGCATTTTTTTTTCACTCTTGTTAGAATTGAAACTAATGCCTATGTAGTTAAGTTGGATAAAATATATACATATGTTTCATATATTACAGGATAAATATATAAATCAAAATTTCCTATAAAGCTAAATTTGGGAGATGGGGTGGAAATATTTTGAATATTTATTTTTAAAGATGCAAGACAGGACTTTGTGCAATGTATTTTTGTAAATGCTTTTCAACATATTTGTCTTTGGTAGAGCTTCTTTGCTGCCACCAAATTGGTAAGACGCTACCGAAATGTTTAAATAAAGAGTTTTAATTTTTAAAAGTGCATGTGACATTTCAGAGTAATAATAAATGTTATGCCCGATGTCCGAATCCCCGAGCGGGAAGAGAGAGGGCTTCCAAGACAATGCAACATGCAAAAAAAAAAAAAAAAAAGGGAAGTTTACTGCTGACTCGAGTCAGGGCTCCCGCCACAGCCAACACAGTGGCGCAGGGTCAGAGAGCCCCGAGCCTGAGCTGTCACACGGATTTATAGGGTGAGCATAAGCAGTTGGTAGCTGGCTTAAGCGGATTGGTTACATGTTTGCAAAGCAATCTTATTGGCCCGAAACTTCGCGGGCTTTTTTCAGACTTGGGCATTCGCAGGCTTTTCAGCTTTCCCCTGATAGGTTCCCTCTTTCTTACTAGGCGTATGTCGATTGGCTGGCTCCGGCCTGATAATCGTGTTACCCCAGAAGACCAGGCCTACTCCTAATCTAGGCTGCCTGTCATGGCGTTAGCCCTGGCAGCCTTACATTCCCCCCTGTCTTGTTGTTTCTGTAGAGGAATCTTTCTCTTCATCCTGGGCTACCATCTGATATTGTCTCAATACCATAATCTGAATGGTATTCAAACGTTCTTTAATAAAAGACACTAGCCAGTTTAAAATACAAGGGCCAAACGTGAGTATCAATAACAGCAATATAAGTGGACCCTGGAGGGTGGAAACTAAGGTGGTCAGCCAGGGGGAGCGTTGAAACCAAGGCTCAAACCATGATTGTTCATTTTCTCTTTCTTGTTTTCGCCTGCTTAGGCCTTCTCTAACCTTTTGAAGAGATTTCTGTGCTACTCCTGGTCAATATGAAAACAGCATTCGTCCCCTGGGGCTGCACACCCCTTGTTGTAAGAACAGCAGGTCCAAACCCCTCCTATTCTGCAACACCACGTCAGACAGAGAACCTAAGGATTCTTGGAGGTGGGGACGGACGTTTCGAGTTGTTCAATGTCTTCATCTATTGCAGCCCTTAGCTGGTTATACTGTTTATCTTGGAGCGTTAAGGCTGCAGTTCCACTTCCAGTTCTTGTAGTCCCCAATCCCAACAGGACGGTTAAAGTGAGGGCAGTGACGGGCTCTCTTTTTACCCTGTACTGACCTGGCGTCTCCAACCTTAGTTGCAGTTCTTCTGGGTAATAGTTCAGCCGGGGGATTAGATGGACTAGGACATCTGTGTGTCTAAGGACACAGGAGTCTAGGGAGGTTTTTAGTGCCGCCTGATGGGCACATGGAGTTAGTCCGGCGGAACAAGCCCACCACCCATTCTCTGGTGGGGTGATCCACTGATGGGTGGGATTGGTGAGGTTAGCTGTAGGGACTGTGTGGTTACACAGATGCTGATAAGTTTCGGGAACAGCGCCTATGCAGGTGCCTATACCCGTAATGGAGCCTACTGTCAGGCGGCCCGCACCAGGCTGTTGCTGCCATCTACAGGCTGAGACGTCAGCCGTCATGTTGAATCCTGACGAAAAGGCAACTGCCTCATAATAGGGAGGTCTAATGTTATAACAGAGCCAGCAACCATTTGTTAGATCTGGGCGAGAGGCGTTAAGAGTCAGGTAAGCTAGAGAGATCATTTTCATAAGGGGGTCCGTAGGGGGTCCACTGATTATGTGAGGGGCGGTGGGGTGTGGAGTAGAGCCTATCTCTTAGCTTGCATTTTTGGAGGAGGGCTTCGGGGTCACCTCCTGAGGGGAAGGTTTCGGGGCTATTACTTGGTCTGGCCCCAAAGCAATCTTGGGGGCTAGATAGAGGGGTCCTAATTTTAATTTAAGTTTGAATCGGACCCCTGTATCATACCCAGTTTTATAAAGATGTAGGCTTCAGGCCCGGCCAGTTTCCCACCTTGTGTATTTCTTCCCTTCGTCTGTGAACTCAATCTGTAATGGAAAGCATTGTCCTGGTTTAGACGATATTCCTAACCTGCATTTTGGAAGGTGTGGGGGCGATTTTACCTGAATGCGGTCCCTGATGGGATTGGTGAGCCAATGGACTGTTCCTGTAGTTTCACATCCCCAGGCAGTGCAGTAAAAGGAATCAGCTCCCCCACATTTTTCAATTTGGTTCGATCCCTTCCTCCCCCTGGGCAAACATAAACAGGCACTTGCTCATAATAGTGTGGGCCCTCCCCATCACAATTACGGGTGAATAAGCCATAGGAGCCATGAGCAAAAAAGTCACGCAGTTGGTGGGGACCATGGCCGAATCCATCAGCCGCCAGGATGCATAAGTCAAAGGTCAGTATGGGCCACCATGTCCCTTTGGGGACCACATTTGAACTTGAATTGATCACCTCTCCAGTCTCCGGGTTATAGACTATCCAAGTCATGTTAGCTGGATGATGGGGATTCTGGGCTGAGAAGCTTCGACTGGTCGCTCCTGGATCGATGAGAGCTGCCATCAGCAGAAGAATTAGGAGGCCTCCCATCGAACGAGTTTCAGTTTCAAAGGATTTGACGGGTGAGGACTCGCCTTCCATTCTGCTCGCGCTTTCTCCTGTTCTTCCGGAGTGGCTTGCCGCACGTGATTGCAGTGAACCCAGGGTCCGATCCCGTCGACCTTGACAGCGGTAGGAGTGGTAAGAAGAACAACATTAAGGGCCTTTCCATCTAGGCTCTAATACCTTAGATTGCTGCCGTTTTACCCAAACCCAGTCACCTGGGCCAATGTTATGTGAGGGGATGGCCCCCTTATTCTGGCCCTCGTATATCTCTCGAATCAATTTCCAAACATGGTTATGCACCTTACTTAATGCTATCAGTTTCCTGGAATTGTCCCAAAGTAGGGGGTGGCAGACACTTTCCTTTGAAAATAGGATACACAGGAGGAGGTCTTCCATAGAGAATCTCAAAAGGGGTAAGATTCAACTTATAAGGGGTGTTACGTGCCCGAAAGAGTGCGAAGGGAAGGAGGGTCACCCAGTCCCCGCCAGTCTCTATTGCCAACTTTGTCAAAGTTTCTTTTAGGGTCCGATTCATTCTCTCAACCTGTCCTGAGCTCTGGGGATTATATTCGCAATGTAACTTCCATTTCGTCCCCAGAGCTTGGGCCAGCCCTTGTACAATCTGGCTCACAAAGGCAGGTCCGTTATCAGAGCCCATAGTCACTGGCAGCCCATACCTAGGCACTATCTCCTCTAGGATCTTTTTAGCAACCACTATTGCTGTCTCTCCCTTAGTGGGGAAGGCTTCTACCCACCCCGAGAAGGTATCTACCAGAACCAACAGATAGCGGTACCCGTACTTGCCTGGCCTTACCTCAGTGAAATCTATCTCCCAGTGTTGCCCTGGCTTTTCCCCTCGGTACCTCGTTCCCGAGTGCTGCTGCTTCTCTGCCCTCATCAGCTGGCAAGCTTTGCAGGCTTGGATTATCTCTCGTACAGTTGCATTTTGTCGAGGGAAACTCAGGCAGGCCGTC